AACTGCAGTCAAATTTATCCCAAACTGCAGATAAACTGCCCAAACTGCCAGTCTGGGCAGTTTATCCCAAACTGCCAGACTGAGGACCCCCAGTCCTCAGTCTGGCAAATGAGGACTGGGGGTGAGGACTGAGAGTGAAACTGGCTTTAGTAAAGAGCCGTGTTAATTCTAATGAGTGTTGGCAAAGCAGCCTAATAAAGATGACAGCACACATTCATATGCATTCATTTGTGTGCTCAGCTTGACAAAGTCTGCCCCGCAGGCTTAACAAAGGGGAGGAAGGAAGCCGGGGGGGATGTGAGCTGTGGAGAATGATTGGGGACGGGGGGGGGGGGGGAGACGTCCTGAAGTCTCTCCGTGTCTGAGGTTATGGCAGTGACAGCTGGCTCTGCTGGGGCTCATTCTCTTTTAGGCCGTCTCCAGCCATCACCTCCACAATAACAGCCAGACTGCATGACACACACACACACAAACACAGGATGCTCCATCCTGTTTACTGTTTACATTTCACAGAGGCTGGCCAACCTGGGAGGGCTTGATCACAGGCATTACAGCTGTCTGAGAGGCAACAGTTTGTTTTTCTGACCACTTCTCTTATCTGTCACACCTCTTGAATGCTTCTCCAACCTTTTATCTGAAATGCTGCAAGTTATCCTACAAGAAATATAAACAACCAAGTTCTCCAAGGAACGAGGGGGTGTAAAAATAGCATTTTGAGTCTAGTTTTCAGAAAGTGAGATGCTAAGTATCTGTGAAACATTGAACAGCTGGGTCAAGAGTGCTCTGACGGCCACATCTGTTGAGAGGAATATAAAAGCAGGACCAGAGACAACAACCTGCAGTGTGGTCCACAACAATAAGATCATTACTGAGCCAAAAGGGACATGTGATTTCTCTGAAGGACGCTAGGAGACAGCTGAACAATGCAGGTCGAACAGAAGCTGATATTTATCTATCAAAAGTCAGCTGCTCCTCATCAGTTTTCGTTTTCTTTTCACTTTTTAAAGTAAAGTTGTTTAAGTTGTTTACTATGTAAGAGAGTTGTTATATTTAGTATGTTGAGCTAATAGGATCAATGGTTTTAGATGCAACAAGAGGACGGCTGTGAAAAGTAGCAGTATCACTCAATGACCAAAAGAGGGCGCTATTAGTTTAACAACACAGCAAGTGGAAGCGCAGTCATATTATAAACCGTAAAAACAGCTGAGAAAAGCAATTATGACTCCTGAATTTTTTATTGTTTAATTGAATCACTACCAATTAATTTTAGAATACATTTAAAAAACCTGATTATAACTTTCAGGGCTCTGCATGGTCAAGATGTTTCCCATATTGAACAGCAAGACAATACTATAGATCTCATGATCTAGACCAAAATCCTAAGCTCTAGTCCATTCAGACTGTTGCACCTTGACTGTGGGAGGAGAGGGGGTTAATACAACTAATTTATCAGATTTTTTTTTAATAGATAAAAAAAAAATCTATACAGAAGAGGATTAGGGCCACTGAAAAAAATTCTGAGATTAAAGTCAGATTTTTTTTTCTTTCAGTGGCCCTAGTCCTCTTCCATACATTTATTTGAAACTAGTTTTCAAATAAAACTTAATTTCAGCTAAATTGTGTAACTTCAAAAAGTTCAAATCAAATGGTAATAGAACTATTCATCTTTGAATAGTTTGCTCAAATATTAAACTATTTGAACAAACCAGTTGTAGAAAGGGCAGATTCTCTAACAATCTGCCCTATAAAGACCTCATTGATGACACCCTGATTAAGAGAGACCAAACAACCACACAGTCAGCTTGGATTCAAAGCCAAGACTTTCTTGCTGCAAGGTAAATTCAAATTCGAAATACTTTATTGAGCCCAAATGGAAACTAAACAGCTCCTTACTAGTTGTTTTTATCAATGATCTGTATGTATTTAAACCTGGGTAGAAAAACGGAGAGGAGCTTCAGGAAGAACTATTGCTTCAAAACACAGTCGCGTGGAACTAAAACCAGCGTAGATCACGTGACCGGGACAGGAAGCGTCCTTTGATGGAGTTGTAGGCAGCTCAGTGCAGGTTCGTTGTTTCACTTTTATGTAGCTTGTATGTCCCGTTTATACATATTTATTTACGGCGAAGAGTTATCGTCACTTTCTGTCTATTTTTACATGAGACCACAAGCAGCAACAGCGTTGTGTTAGCAGCGGAAGTGCAGTTTGACAGCTAGCAGGTGGAATCGAGTGACCAACGTGTTTTTCAGCAGTAAATGTTTGTCTTTTGCCACATGAACAAACAGCTTTGAGGATGTAATATCGATGAGCAAGTTTATACCTTGGTCACTTGTTTCCGTAAGCGTTGTAAGTCCTATTTGTTGCTACCTTCGTTAACGTGTATGTACTTTGAAGCAGCAGCTGTTCGTGTAGTGTTTATTTCGCGTTACTTGTAGCAGTTTGGTGACATTTATTCATTGCAAATGTAGCTACAAGGGATGGACCGAGAAATCGTCTCCAGATGTTTAACGGTGTTTAGCCGGAGCTGAACGAGATTGTCGGGGTAGCAGGAGAAGAATACAGGTAACCGGGGCACCAAATTTGACACAACGTGAGCGATATCGGACATCAATACACGGTGTGTGTGTGTTAATGTGGGGGGGCAAACTCCAACACTTTGTCATTGTTTAGAAACACTGACTACAGCTTTGCATTCAGTTAAGAGTAACCTATTAAACAAATATTTGTTTACTTACTTAAATATATTTTTAAAAACTTGCACGCGTATGTTCTGGAGGGGTATATGTAAAAACAAACAATATAGTGGGGAAATGGCATTAAAATATTTTAAATTCCAAGACCAGATATGATTTAAAATTAACGCAGTGCAGATCACAAAAAGATATTGGTTCTGCAGATTATGTTATATTCATCACTAAAACAGGAACTGGGAATATTCTGCTTAGAGATAAAACTAGTTTAATCCTCTTTCTAAATTAAATATTCTGAAATTGGGCTATAACATATTCAACCATTTTTTATTAAAATGGATTTTATGTGGGTCAGTTATACCATTTCACATATAAAATCAGTTGGTTTTGTAAAATATAAGAAATGGGAAATTTGAATCAACAGACTGACAACATTTTGCTTGTCCACAGGTTTTTTTTTTAAACTAAAATTTCAACAATAAATTCCGGCTGTGTTGCCAATAGGGACGGGGAAAAGACATTGAATAGTAATGCTGTGTATATGTTTTCTTTAAGGACTTCTGAAAATTATGCAAGCTTAAATTATGTTTCCTTCAGGATGTTTGTTTTTCCAGAATATTTGTGTTTAGGGAGTGTGCATGGAAAAAGAATATAAAATGATACCAGTTCTTAATATCATTTTATTGCCTCTACTCTGCATATACTGTGCAGGAGCCAGGCAATGTAAATTACTGTTCAATGACCCTTTTTAGAACACACACAGATTGTTTTGAAACCAGCATTTGTGATGTAATAAAACATTACTGCACTGTAAATATTAAACTCAACCATTTGAGTTTATGAACATTATGTACTTTACTGAGGGCTTCATTGTTCGCTGCAGTGTGTTGCAGGTCATTTATTAGTTGTAGTCAATAGAGAAAATGTGTATCAACGCTGAAGCTATATCTGAATGCATAGCTCTTACAAACAAAATCCCAAAACAAAATCCCTAAAAAAATTAAAGAAGGTAATTGTTTCAGTCACAGGATTTACTAAGTGAAACGCACTATGCAGATTAATTACATTCAGACAGATGTTTTCAATCATTTATTTGTGTGAATTGTGAAAATCTACTCTCATGAAATGAAAATTCAAACTAAAAATGCGTATTCTAACTTATTGAATATTATGACTGTACTCCGTGACGGGGACAGAGGAAATATTAAAAGTAGGAACGGCACCAGAATAAGAATGTGTCCTTTTTGATAATTTTTCTTTATTTTGCAGCAATTTTAGAAGGAATAGAAATGTAATTTATAGTTCTACTGTGGAGAAACTATGCAAATGCCAGCTGGGATGTAAACTTTAAATGAGTCTGAAACAGCTGGAAGCAGTGGTGGTAGGAAGGATCTGTGATGACTCTCCTTTGTGAACCCAGGACGCATCAGGTTGTTGATGCAGGAGCTCTCCAGTTTACCAGCAACACTATGCAGATAAAATAATCGATCTGTGCTCCAAATGTTGCACGTGTCTTTTTTTTTTTTTCTCTCTCTCTCTATTTTATTTTTGCTCACAGACTGAGACTGAGGACGTAATAGGCTAAATCAGAAGCTTATATGTTTAAGATATTTTCCAGTGGAAATCAGTAAAATAGTTTGGTCATTTTTAGTTGTCTTGGGCTACATTTAGTATTTTTGCATTTGGAAAGCTGGTATTTTGTAGCTGCTGATGCAGTTTGGCCTTTGCCGTTTGTATTGCCACAGTGTAAACATTACGATCAGCAGCTGGGAGTCCAGATGTTGCTCATAAAGTCAGCTTCATCATCCTGTGTTTTAGTCACTTTTTGCAATGTTCAGTCTCCCTTGATTGTGGAAATTAAATCATTTTTACTTTGAAATGATGAAAATGCAGGTGTTTTCATTTACTCAGCTAAATTATGTAAGCTTTTGCTGAATCTACAGCATTACATTGAGGCATTAAGTGCTGCAAAATTTTACAATCATGTTCTCATATCTCGTTCTCCCAGTGGAAAAAAAAAGAATTAAAATCAAAAATGTTATTAGATTTCAATAATCAAATTTTGATTTAAATATAAATGGCTTTTTCAATATTTGTGCTTTTCATCTCTTTCTGTTTGTATTATATTCCAATTAGTTTAAGCAATGCTGACCACAATGCTGGACTAATTAGAAAAGCCATTATCCATTAAAAAATACTTAAGGCACCGGTTTTTTATTTACTTACGTTATATTTCCAGTTAATTAAAAACTGTTAACTATTGTACATTAATTCAGACATAGAAGAATCGACTAATATTGGTGTAACATGTGAACCATTCAACATTTTGATCCGTTGTCTTCAACTAAATCAATAATAATCTACTGACCAGTAACTTTTTTTCATATCTCTTCAAGTGTGGAATAGGATGATTTAATATATTGCAGATTCAAGCCGCTCAACCATCCGCTTTTTCCCATTTTCATCAAAAGATCCATTTTGTTTAAGTTTTTCTGTCTTTCTCAATAGAGGGCTTTTATCCCTTGCAAAATCATCAGTAAGTGGGCAGGATTTTCCCAGAATTCCCAACTAGTCCAGCTCTCAGACTAGAAGCTCAACGCCCCTGAGCAAAGAGCAAAAGTCCACATCCCTGGCTTGCGTTGCTGCACACCAGTCTGGATCGATGCCTCTAGAGTCTAGAGGAACAAAGAAAGAACAAGAAACGCCGACTTTAAGTAAATGATCTGTTCTGTCACTGCAGATGGAAACGTTTATGGTTTTTACATTTTTTTTGTATCTCTGCTATGTTTAAATTTCGCTTGAGAAATGAGATTTGTTGCACTAATATGTACAATAACAATGTGTACATTTGTATTTTTATTAATGCAGTTCAACCTTGTCATTTCACCCTATCCCTAAATATTCGGGTTGGATTAAAACATTGATAATTTTGCTCTTCTGTGTCCATACAGGACTTTTGGAGTGTTGAGACTAGAAAATGTCTTTAGCCGTCTCACTGCTCCTCGTCGCTCTGTGTGCTGGCGCAGGATACGGCGAGGAGGGAACGCAGGCTCAGAAAGCTGGCCATGTTTCTGTGGTCGTAGTCGGAGGAACTGGAGACCTGGCGAGGAAATATTTGTGGCAGGGATTCTTTCAGCTGTATGTGAGCCAGGTCAGTGGCGGAAACACCTTTTCTTTCTACGGGGGAGGCTTGTCCCCGTCTGAACAGGCCACGCCGGTCCTCTTTGAGATCCTGAAGGCGGTCACCTGCTCCAAGGACGTTTCTCAGGACCGCTGCGCCATCCTGAAGGACCAGTTCCTGCGGCTCTCGCAGTATCGGCAGCTGAAGACTCTGGAGGACTACCAGGAGCTAGCCCGGCACATCGAGCAGCAGCTCCAGCAGGAGGGAATGACGGAGGCCGGACGCCTCTTTTACCTCTCGGTCCCGGCTTTCGCGTACGCAGGTGTTGCGGAGAAGATCAACAGCAGCTGCAGGCCGGCCGACGGGACCTGGCTGAGGGTCGTCCTCGAGAAACCGTTCGGACACGACTACCTCAGTGCTCAGGTGTTGGCGACCGAGCTGATGGGTGCATTGAAGGATGAAGAGATGTACAGAATCGACCACTACTTAGGGAAGCAGGTGAGAAAAGATCCATCAGACCATGTTTCTGTCCCTCCTGGCAATTTATATGTTTAATTACATTTTTTTATTCTTCATTTCATGAAAAAAGGTGGTGTCAAAGATACTTCCATTCAGGATGGAGAACAGAAAGTTTTTGGACCCCATCTGGAACAGGCATCACATTGAGAGGATAGAGATCATTTTGAAGGAGACTCTGGATGTTAAAGGTGATTAAAGGTTTCCTCCATCTTGTTTTTACACATCTTCACGCTCACTGCTGGCCAAATAAATTCAAAATGTTTGGATTACACTGAAACATTTAGACAAACTGAGTTAACCGAGTCAGGGGGAATAAATCCATGTTTAGAAATATTTTCTAACAAAACCATCAGTGTATTAACAACCCTTACAATGTATACAACAGAAAAATTTTAATGTACACTTTATTTTTTTAAGTTAATTAGCATGTCTAGGAACTTTAACCAAGAATCCATGACATATTCTTCTCTCATTGTATAAATATAGGTACATGGCATCATGAACTCTTGGAAATAGAACATTTCCAATAAAAGCTGTTCGTCGCTACAAAGAAAACAACAATACCTCCTCATTTAGTCTTTAAATATAATAATGATCCAAAATATAAGGCCAAAGTAACACAAAAATGGTTCATCTTGGTCTCAAAACCTAAATTCTGCAGGAAACATGTGCAAAGAATAGAAGAGAACAAAGGACTCTGGAAAATGAAGATATTTTGTAAACAATTCTCTTTTAATGTCATTTCTTCTCTTCATGTGGATTTTTCTCTAAAGTTTTTAGTGGGAGAATATTGCAACAAATGACATAGACATCTTTAAGAAACTTGGTTAGTTCTTTCATCAGCTCCTATCCTGAAATAAATGTCATTTAGTGTAAAAGTCTTTGCTGCTTTTAGAAAAGTACTAAACATTAACCAACTCTGGAGGTTGTGCACCTTTACCCCTTTAAGGCTTGTCAGTCACCCCAGGCTAAGTGCTCCATAAACGGCTGTATAAGACAATAAACAGGGCCATCATGTCATCTGCTGTTCTTTCAACAATACCCAATACAGAGAAGCTTCAGAGAGGGAGGTCAAAGGTCACATCAGAGTTCATATTCTTAAAGTGCTTTATTCTCTGGATCAGAAAATATGAAATGTGAATGTTTGAATGTGAAGGAAGTTAAGGTGGTCATCGTGACGGTTTCAATCTTGCTTTGAAGATTTTATGCATGATGTAAAATGAAATATATTGAACGTTTTCATCTCTACAGATTGTTCAAATGAAGGCACTGCAGCCCTACTCTGGTCAAAACTGTCTCAATCCAGCACATAAACAAGTTACTAAATAGATATTCATGGAATATATAGTCAGTCTGTTAGATAACTATATTTGAAAAAAGTAGTCACAGTTTGTATCTATTGTATTTGCAAAATCATACAGAATAATTTCTTTATAAATTATTTAATTGGAAAAGTTATAGTTAGATAAATTAGTTAAATGTCATGAATAACACCTCTGACCAACACTACATTTATTAAAGGGACCAGTCCAGTCCAATAATTCAAAACTTAAATATATCTTTAAATATTTTTAATTCAAAATGATTTAATTAATATTTAAGAAAACTTTGAAGAGTTATTTCAAACTTGTGCATCCATTTCATTTAAAATGCTTATATTTCCATATAACTTATTTAGATATTGTTAAATTGTTTTTGTTTTTTTTTTACAAGCTTGTCAGGGTGGGTGGGTGGAGCTAAACTGATGGTTTAAAGTGTGTCATAATGGACTAATGCACAGAAACTATAAAATTACATTTACTAAAACATATGTAGCATTTAAACATAGTAATGAATTTGCTCAAATATGTATGTATTTAATTTTTCTTTCATTTATCAAATAAGATATTTCACTTGATAGATATTTTGTATTATATGTTTTTCAATATAACCCAATAACTGATTTCATTTTTGAAAACATGTCTCCATGCTGCCTCTTGTTTTGACGCCTCAGGTCGGATTTCCTTCTACGACGAGTACGGAGTGATCCGAGATGTCCTGCAGAACCACCTGACTGAGGTCATGACCCTGCTGACCATGAAGCTTCCTGCCAATGTGAGCAACAGTGGAGAAGTTCTTCGAAACAAGCGGGAGGTCCTCGGCTCCATGCTGCCGTTGGGAAAGAATCAGGCGGTCGTCGGACAGTACCAGAACTACAAAACCGAGGTCCAACAGGAGCTGAATAAAACCAAAGAGTACGTCAGTCTGACGTCAACATTTGCAGGTGAACACACAGCTTTCTTTCGCAATGTTTCCTGTCTTTACTTTATGGTAATCACACTGCTTGAAGTTCTCATTTCGACATGCTACACTCTCAAATGTCGGTGTAATTTTCTGGTATTTTGTGAGTCATAAAGTGGTTCATAAAAATGTAGAAGAAGGAAAATAATCAGTCGATTTGTAATTTCAAGAGGGTTGAGAGATTTTGGACCAGTCGTCTTAACAAAATGTCTCAAATTGAGTTCGGATGGAAGCATCTGTAAAGGTCAGATTCTCGGACTTAAAGTCCGGGCTTGGACTAGGCCACTCTGAACAAATGCTTTGTTCTAAACTATTCCATTGTTTGTCTGTGATTTGGGTTTTTTGTAGAGCCTCCAACATGATCTGCTCTTTATTTAGCTTCATCCATTTTTCCTGTTCATGCTAAAGGAAGACATTTCCACAGCATAATACTGTGTAAATGAATGCTGTGTTAGGCGATAAAATGTTTATTTTCCTATTTTAAAAAGGAATTGAATTACTTTTTTTACTTGCATCTTTTAATGTGTTTGTAACATTGTACAAAAAAGGCTTAAGTGGTTGAATATAGTATATAGTGGCTATCTATATAAATAATCTTTAGATAATTAAAATAATCCATTACTAAAGGGTCATTAGTCGCAGCCTTTGTATTTTTTTTTACTGTGTTTGTTTAATTTGTAAATATAAATTCTGCGTGTGTTGCAGCCGTTCTGGCCCACATCGAGGATGCGCAGTACGAAGGCGTTCCTGTTCTTCTGGTCTCTGGGAAGATGCTAGACGAAAGCGTCGGGTACGCGCGCGTCCTTTTCAAGAACGACGTCTTCTGCCTTCAGAGCCATAACAACGTCCACTGCAAACCCAAACAGATAGTTTTCCACTTCGGCCACGGCAGTCTCAAATATCCAGCGGTTCTGGTCAGCAAGAACTTATTCAAACCAGTTCTGAAAGGCGGCGAGTGGAAGGAAGTGACGGAGCACAAAGACGTCGACGTTTTGGGTTTGCACATTTCCGATTACTTTGTGCAAACTCCGACAACAGAAAGGGAAGCATACTCAGAGCTCATCCATCACATTTTTGCTGGACAGAAGAATAATTTTGTCAGCACTGAAAACCTGCTGGCCTCCTGGGAAGTCTGGACTCCGCTCCTCAGCGCCCTGAGGGCGTCCTTCCCCCGGATCTACCCCGGCGGCGCCGACAACGGAGACATGCTGGACGTCCATCTGAGGGGGAAGGAAATCCGCTTCAACAGCGAGGCCGTGATCATCAGCCCAGATCAGGCGGGAGGGCCGTCGGCCAGCAGCTTCCAGGTGATGCAAGGGAAGTTTCGCGGCGCTGAGATGGTGTCCGCCTGGTCGGAGGAGCTGGTGGAGCGGCTGGCCGCGGATATGCAGGAAGCAGCCGAGGCAGCCGTGCGGGAGGGCGGGATCTTCCACCTGGCGCTCTCTGGGGGCTCCACTCCGCTCGCTCTGTTCCGCAGGCTGGTCCTGCACCACTTCTCCTTCCCCTGGAGAGACACGCACGTCTGGATGGTGGACGAGCGCTGCGTCCCACTGACTGAGGCGGACTCCAACTTCCACAGCATGCACAAACACCTGCTGCAACACGTGAGGATACCGTACTACAACATCCACCCCATGCCGGTGCAGCTCAACCAGCGGCTCTGCGTGGAGGAGGACGGAGGAGCCCAGCTGTACGAGAAGGAGATCAACAAACTCGTCAACGTCTCCAGCTTTCACTTTGTGCTGCTGGGCGTCGGATACGACGGCCACACCGCTTCTCTGTTCCCCGGCGGGAAACTGAACGAGGCGGGAGGAAGTCTGGTGGCTCTCACAGAGAGCCCCATCAAGCCCCATCAGAGAATGAGCCTCACCTTTAGCGCCATCAACCGAGCTCGCACCGTCGCTCTGCTGGTGATGGGCAAAGGCAAACATGAGCTGGTCACCCAGCTGAGCCGAGTTAAGGACAACCTGGAGAAATATCCCGTCACCTGGGTGAAGCCAGATAATGGAAGGCTAGTTTGGTATATAGATTATGACGCACTTTTAGGATAGGCGATTATGCACCGTAAAAACACAAACGCCAAGTATTTTCAAACTGTTTTCTAATGCAAAATATCTTTGTACGCCAGAAATAAGACGGAATTAACTTTTCAGCAATAAATAGGAGGTGGTTTTAAGTAAATGATTCCTATTGATGAAAATGGTGGAATAAAACATTTGTCCTATATCATAAGTTAAAATGTCATGTCCCAGTTATAAATAGCACTTCTGAAAAGTTACTTGTAAGTTAGTCTTGTCTTATCTCAAATGTGCCAAGACATCAGCATTAGAAACTAGATCAAAAATACTTGGTGAGATTTTGTGTTTTTCTTCTGTTCAATCAGAGAATGCAGCTGCTTTAATGGAAGTGGTGGTTAGGAAGCGACACCAAGGTGACCAGGAACTTCAGGTTTTTGCTTTAACCATAAATCACATTTACTAAACATTTCCTTGTTTGAGCTTAGGACAACACAGCTCCAGTCACAAGTTTATGCAACATCTTATAATTACCTATTTTAACCATTCTTTTGATTGATTTCTAAAAATTGGGATTTTTTTTTTCTAAACATTTGTCCAAATTTTACATACCGGCTCAAATATATACATACACCATAACTACTATTTGAAGTGATGCCTTAGAAAGTTACAGAGAAACCACTTTCTGCAGCCATGAACTGGGCTGGATGATCAATCTTCTTATATTTGACACTAAAAACACATTTAAATCAGTTGATATAATGACACAGACCAGTGTCTTTAAACCTATTTAAACCTTTCTTTCAGGTTTAGAGGCATTCGAGCAGCTTACTGTTGGTTTCATTCTCTATTTCATAATCAGACTTAATGTCTTTTATGGTCTTTTTACTTCCAATTATGTCCAAATTTCAGCCATTGTTAAACTGAGGTGAAGTTGTTGAACCTGGAGGTTGTCCTGCTTCTACTTTGAGCCATGCTCAAATACCGCTATCGTTGAAACAAACCCTCAGAATGACGCTGTCACCGCCATGCTTCACGGTCGGTACTGTGTTCTCCATCATCAAACATTCTTTTTGTTTTATGGCCAAATACTGTTTTCTCCAGAAGTTTCCTGGTCGGAGCTGAAAATTTCACTAATTCCTGCAGGATTAAGTTTTAGATTCTGCAAAGATACTAAATGGTGTCCCAGTTTATTACAGACGTGAGCCTTGATTGAATTTTCTGACCAATTTTCTTTCCTCTGAGGCTGACAATTTTCTCCAGTTCCTAACAAAAACAAACTTTCTAGAGCTGCAAAACCAACAACTCTTATTATATAGGTAAGTCGTATTAAATTAAAGAAACACAATCCTATTTCTAAGAAACAAAAGTAATTTTATAGCATTATGAAGATATTTTTTAGAAGAAATGTTTCATATTTATGAAAAATAAAGGAACAACATAGTTTGCAGCCTAACAAAAATAAGATTATGTTTTTGTATCACTAGTGCCATTCTGTGGTGGACATTTTATACAAATGTTGCATAAAAAAAGCTGAACAGCAGGTTTTTTTTCATTACTTTAACATTTAAAAACATGGCTCCGTTCTTAATCACTTTTGGCAAAGCTTGGACGACCACATGTGCCAAATGAACTGCGGTTTGCAGCCTCCAGGGTGGGAGGGTTGAAACATGGACAAAACTGCAGAAAAATGATCCCAGTTGGACAAAAACAGAGCAGTTTTGGTTTGGCTAACGGAAAGTAACTTCAGGCATGACACCAAATTCAGCCCTGCTGGCACTGCAGCGACTATAATTAAACACCACAATGGAAAAGGAGCTGTTCAAATAAATCTTTAAAAGACCCAAATTGGTAACATTTATCTTCATGCGAGTGTATGTAAACTTCTGATCTGCACTGCCAGTCAAACAAGTTTATTAGATCAGTGGAAATCTACTAGGATTTGGGTCAGTACATTTCACTTTAAGAAGCCCTTTAGGCAACTAGTTATGAGTTATAAATAAAGTGTGGTGATAAAGTTAAGCTTTCAAACACAGCAGAGTGCCCAGTATTTGCAGTTTACAGTTAATGGCCAAAAACTTCTGGTTCTTTCCTATCAAAAGGTGAAACATTATGTGAAATCTGCGTGAGTGAATGCAGTTGAAGATTTGTTTCATAGCGTTTATGAAACGGTGTGATCTGAGTGGAGATGTAGACGAATCACAGGAATCCAAGTCTCCAGCTCGGAGCAGGAAGTTTGAAGCATGTGATGCTGTGAAATCTGGTGCTTAGAGCCAAACAAACACAAGAGAGATTTATTTTAGACAGAATCGGTGTGTTTGTTTGTGCAAGTCGTAGCAAATCTCAGGTGTTTCTGCAGATACTTGGTGGCAGGGTTACAATGCAATTAAGAAAAGTCTTAAAATCGAGGTTTTCTAGCGTGATGACGGTTATTTGTGGTGCAGAGATTTTTAATCAGCATATCAATAAACATTCCTTTCAGGTTATTTCTGTACAATCTGCAGGTGATTTTTATTTTTTGAAACTTTTTCGTTTCAGACAGAATTGATTGTATTTCAGTGAATTGTTTATGAAGTTTGCCTTGAGAGTTTTCTTTCAATAAAAATCTGATTTATTATATTCCTGCTCAAAACATCCTTTATTTGATTCATGAAAATGAATCAATTTTATTTAATTTCAGGCTGTTGCACCTACGAGAGATTCAAACATTATTACTGGTGTTATTTCCTAAAAGGAAATATTATTTCTAATATTTTAGGTCTGGTTGTTCAGAGAGGGAAACAATCTGAGTTTTACTACTACAATTTCTGAACAGCACCAGTAAAAAATATGTGGGTTTGTTGCAACTTTAAACATTTAAAAACACAAATGTCAGCCATTATTACAAAATGCTGGTGAGCAAATTAAGACAAGAGAAAAAGGACAGAGCTACTTCCTGTGTGTTAAATTAAATTCCTTAAGCCAGAACAGTAATGCAAAATTATTTGATATTTAAGAAAGAAGGCATGACTTTCAAAGTTTAAAATGTTTCAGGGATTTTGAAATTGGTGATGCTACTTTTTTTTTTTTTTTTTTAAATTTTTTCATTTTTTCCTGTGAACAACCCAGACTAACAGCCAGATTTCTTTGCATCAATATCCATTGGACATATTGCAAAATGTAATCTAATTAAAGGATGCAAATTACATCAATAGTTTTCTAATCAATATCTAACATCTAATCTAAACTCCAACTCAAATTTAGTGCTGGAAATTCTGACAAATCTTTACATTTTAATTAGACTTCTTATAAAATTTTGGAAACACTTTTCACCAATAATAAATCACTCTCTGATTTAATGTTCTAATTAAAAGTTTTCAGTTGTTTCATTTGAGATAACTTGTTTTCAGTCTGCATATGCATTATCTGTAGTTTTCAAACAGCTTTAGTCTTCCAGGAGTTTATTTGCTGATATTTTTAATTAAACTAAAACTGGGGTGACTTGTTGAAAGTTGGTTTCAAAGAAAAAATTCATTTTCCTTTCCAAAATCTGATGAATAAGCCATCAATTGGCCTTTTTAAACCAGTAAATCTTATTTTATGTGACAAGGATGTTGAATCGACATCTTAAGCCTTTGTGCCTTACTTACAAACATGATGAATTTTAAAACATTAAGGTGATGGGAACGAGTAGAAATTAATGCTTCAATTTGATTTTCAGTCTAAAGTGTAGATATTGCCGTTTATTTATGAAATCACGATGCAAATGTCCCATCTGTTTTCAATCAGTTTGGCTTTACAACATGTACATATAAACACAGTTTACATTACAGTGTAAATTACACATCTTAGCTTATTTGACAGCATGTTGCAGACATTTCAAACAATCATCACATCTGTTTTTCTGCAGCCAGCATTAAACCCGGAGCTTGATTAACTCGCCTGCACTTTTGTCCCTCTGCTGACGGTTTAAAGTTTCCGTCTGCTGCCGGATCAGATCCCTCATGAATTCTTTAAAGTGAACTGTATCCGATGTCGATGGCGCGGGGACAGCTGGGTCTGTTTTATCACGCGTTGTTCCCGCTTGTCGCCTGCCTGTTGGTTAACCACAGTCCTGCTCTCACCGTGAAAAAGCCTAAACGGACAGAAACAGGTGTCAGCTCTGCGGAGACACAGACTGAAGCCACAAGAAACGGCTCACCTGCGCTGAACGCAGAGGCGACCGTCAGAGCGACGGACAGGTAGTACAGCTCTGTGGTAGTTTTGGCCTGTGGGTAGAGACACAACTCATTTTGATGCTGCAGTTTTGCGTTTTCTCACTATTGGTGCTTTTCTTTTCTTTTCTTACACAAGCGGCTGCTGTGAGAGTCAGGATGGCGGTGCACAGACCGTGACCGCATGACAGAAGTCCAAACACATGATAGGCAGCCCACAAGCCCTGAGGAACCGGATCTAGCAGCGTGAATAACACTGAAAGACCTGAGAGGAGAGCAAAAGTTAAAATTATTCTTAGTTTTTTTTTTTTTTAACTACATGTGATTGGACTCACCTGAAGCAACGATGGATAGGGCAACAGAGGCCGACAGGTTGTTCAGAAGAGGTTGCCTGCAGTATCTTGAGGATTTTGACCTTTTATGGCAACAAAAAAAAAAAAAAAGCACTTTTACACTTAAACCCATGACCTGTGTGTGACTTTACATGATGTCTACATCCCAGTTACCTCCCCATGACGTAGAGCTGGGGGGCCAGCACCACCACGATGAACACTGCATTCACTATTTGGCTGTTAATGAAAATTACACATCAGTTGTCATGCATGAACGTAAATGATAACTCCCTCTCTAGAAGAGTACTTACAATTTTAACCTCTGGTTCAGCGGTATCCATCTGCTGCTGTGATAGGCCATGAAGACCAGCATGTAGAGAAACATCGATGCTGTGCATTCAGGCGAGGGCGTGTGGAAACACTGCGCTGCTGGCTAAACGTGCTCCAAGGACAGATTGGGTTTCATTCACTGTTACAATACAATCCACATCAGATGTCACAATTTTTCTTATATCGCCATGTTTATGTAATTTGGCCCGCTTCCTCTTTGCAGATTTGTTTATTTCATCAACACAGGAGGATTTTTGAGGATGAACAGCTTGTCTTACTTTTATTATGGTACAGTTTCCCCCGCCTGTTGCCCAATGACCTGGTTTGCTTTCCAGTAACACTATGAATAAGCAGGTACAAACAATGGATGGATGGATCACACTATCCTAAGCCAAAATAAAGAAGTGTACCAAGCAGTAGTTTAGAAATAGAGCTCAAAGCATAGTCTAAACAAAGAGGGCAGACGGAGGAAAAGCAGCTCCACCTCGTGTCCCTGAACAGGTCTGGTGTTCCAGTCAAAAACAGATTTGTTTTGGGAAACCAGAGTCTTTGCCAACCTCAAGGCTGAGAACCACTTTGTTAAAAGTTGCTAGAAAGTGGACCAAAAACCAACAACTCTTTTGGTTAAAGTCAAATTCCTTTTACTTTGGTTAAAATACCAGCCTCATAATTTTCTATTTCAGCCTGCAATTTGAAACGTTTCTTTAGCCGAGCCAAATCCACTTCAACACACCTGCAGCCTGTTGACGTTCTAATCAACAGGCTGAAATGTGTGGCACTGCTGTGTTCTTTCATGCAGGGAGTTTCCTCATATTATGCAAAAACTACTCCTCTTCCTGTGTGCTTTGAATAAGAGAGGTGAGCGTTGCAACGCCTTGCCTCATGCTGACGCTATAAAACATCCAGGAACTCACAGTGCCAAGTTTTCACGACAGCCAAACCTCCAAAATGCCTGCAGACTTCAATGGAACATGGGATATGGTCAGTAATGACAATTTAGACGGCTACATGATTGCACTTGGTAAGGTTTTCTTCTTTTAATTATTAGCTTGATGCATTAGCCGTGCGGATGTCTTAATTTTTAGTCAAATTAAGTGTTAAAAAACAAGCCTGTGTTACGGATGATTTTCTAAATTAAACTGGTTTATGTCATGCAGACATTAACTTTGCAACACGCAAAGTCGCCTCTATGCTGAAGCCTCAGAAGGTGATCAAACAAGATGGAGATTCTTTCACCTTACAAACCATCTCCTCTGTGTTAAAGTACGAGTGCTCCTTCAAAATTGGAGAGGAGTTTGAAGAGGTGACGAAGGGCATGGACAACCGCAAGTGTCGGGTAAATGAGCAAGTAGCGTTTAAAACTTTCAAATCGGCATAAAATTGAAACCTCCAGAGAATTAATGGTTTTTCTTTTACACCTCTACCAGTCTGTGGTTAACTGGGACAACGATAAGCTGGTGTGTGTTCAGAAAGGAGAGAAGAAAGACAGAGGCTGGACTCACTGGATTCAAGGAGACGAGCTCCATCTGGTATGCTGGCTCACTTTTTATATCCAGTTAGAAAAGACGCATTAGTCCTGTATGCCATATTTAGAATTAACCCCTTTACTTTGCTCTACTAGATTATGATTTTACTGTTCATGTATGAAAAAGTCCTACAAATTTGATAAAGCTTTCATTTTTCTCTTTCAGGAGTTGGCCTGTGAAGGTCAAGTGTGCAAGCAAGTCTTTAAAAGGATGTGACCCTGACTTTGAAGATAATGCTATACCTCATACATGTTTTCATCATAAGATGAGATGCATGCAAAATAATAAAAAACAAAAAGCAGACCAGAGATCTTGATTCATTTCAACACTAAATGCAGGAGCTTTGTATTTTTCTCTCTTTTAAAATCCCATTATGAGAAGGCACAAAAAAATATACCGTAGGTAAAACAAAATTATTTTTGACTTGACTGGAAGTGATGATGAGCAGCAAACTGGGAGTTTTTTCCTCTTGAAGGCCTGAAACAGCTGGGTGGGAGGAGATGTCCCCTTTAAACCAAAAGGTCACTTCCTGCACAAAACAAGTCTTTCCCCAATGTGTCTTACTCTAGTACAAGTCAGAGTGAAGAGACTCTACAGTGACTGATCTATTAAACTATGTTCTAACTGTGCAAGCAGAGAAATTTTGACTGATTAGGATAACGGTAGCTATTGCATAACTTCCAAAGTCTAAAAAACAAAAAAGTATTGCAAAAACAAAACGCATCAACATGGTGTGAAAGATGTAAATCTTGCGTTCCTTTTTATTGCTCTCATATGGAAAGCAGTCATTAAATTTTGAGGTCTGAGTTAACAAAAACAAAACTCCAGTCTTCCTTGAGAACTTTATTATATAACTAACTTCAAAAGTCCCAAGTCCTGTACCCTATCATTTCATGTTGGTCAGCATAACGGCACTTGGGAAAACTTTGTAAAGTGAAATCACTTGTAAAAATTCTTTGTTTTTTATAAACCTTTCAAACCCGCTTGAGTTGGCTACCTTCTTTGTTATGGCTCATTTAACATCCCTTTGGGATCAAAGTAGCTTTGAATTTGAATTATGGGCAGATATGACCTTTCAGTGCAACCAAAGATGCTAACATGAAATAAAAGTAGAACACCCACTGAATTATACAGAGACTGCAATTCATATTGAGTAGATTCACTGATCATTTATAGTATCCACATATTTTAACTATACATTCAAAGATGTTTTCATCACGTCAAACTAGTGTAACATTTAATCAACAATCAAAACCTTTCTAAATTTGGATTACATCCGGAGGTGGGCACTAGCTCCTTATGAATGGGTATTATTGAAAGGAAATCCAGTCAGTTAACAATAAATGTAAACCACTTAAGCAGGCAGCAACACTCAGATAGCGCTGAATGTGACGTGCCTTGTAGTTCAGCATTACGGCCACGTGGGGGCGCTGTGTAATTTCTCAACTCAGATGTTAAGAGTCGTTGGTTTGTGCCGCGAGTTTTTGTTTTTGTCGGCGTCTAAAAAGTTCAATCAGTTAGCAACCAGATAAAACCATGAGCTAACAGTACGCTTCAGCCAGGCATAAATCTGATCTGTTCGACATTTTGGTTATTTTTAAACTTGTCTCGCAGCCGCTCAAAAAATGTCAGTTGACAAAGAGGAAACTCGTCAGGTAAGAGACATTTTGTTACCATTACCATCGTATCCACTTAGCCAGGGGTAGCTAAGGTTGCATCAACATCCCTCTTGTCAAAGTTTGTAATGAATTGTTTCTGTGTTTAGAGGTTGAAGGCAGCGGTTCATTACACGGTGGGTCGGTTGTGTCAGAAGATCGGAGAGGACCACCGGAGGGAGTTCAGCCGACAGACCATAGCAGCCATAGCGGAAACGACATTCAGGGAGTGCGGTGAGTTTCTGAATCGTACAGTGCGACTTTCACGAAACACCGCCGCCTTACATAGTGACGGAATAAGTCATTCAATGTTTCACTTTTATGTACCTGCCAAACATAACATCTAAACTAGGGATGTCCAACATATGGCCCGGGGGCCATTTGTGGCCCTTGCCCCACAAGCACAAAGAGCGATTTTTACAGACAAAAATCTTCATAAGCAAGTATTCAGATACAAGACGACTGTTTTCCTTTATTAACGATGTTTCTCTTTTCATTGATTGCGTTTCGATTAAAAAAAAACATTGTGGCGCTTGAGTTTCCTCATCTGTAGCAGCTGACAGCGACAACACTTACACATTTTTTTTAGGTTACAAACTTGTGCTTTTTTTAAAAAAAAGCTATTTCACATTGCAACCACAATGTATGGTATTTTATTCTGATAGACCAATAATTCGTCAATTACATTAGGTTTGTTTGGTATCTTCCATTATGTTTCAATTTTCACTGTTAACTGAAATAAAATAAAGCAAGAAACGGGGGATTGATGACTGTAAAATGTCAAAATGCCATCCTTATTACTGTCTAATGAAAGCAAGGTTTTTACATGTTACCTCAAGCGTAATGTTTAAAATGTATTGCAATTAATGCAATACACATAAAATCCTGTGTGGGTCCAACATTAATGATCTTCTATCTTCTTCCAATTCAAAATTAGTCTCATAATGTTGAATTTTAACCTCCAGAATGTTTTCTTCACATTTTAAAGCTCCAGTCACAGTTGTAATACTCCTTGAGTTTAATTAATAAAATTAAATGTTGACAGAAAACATGATGTAATGGTTTTCCCTCTGTTCAGACATCTTTGCCAAGGATCTGGAAGCTTTTGCCAGGTAAGGCTTTCCGAAGCTCAACCATTTTAAATATTCAGGGTTTTATTCCTCTAGTAAAAACAGAAAAACTTTATATTACGACTGCTGTGTTTTGTTTTGTCTCTAGACACGCCAAAAGAAGCACGGTGTCTTCAGAGGATGTAAAACTTCTAGCCCGCCGCAGTAGTGCTCTGGTAGGTTCGAGAAAAATAACCAAGTTACACGATTCCTCGACACACTTTCAGTATACTACAGTTGTACATGTCATATATATACACATTCTACAGGAGACGGCACATTTTTATTGTTTCATTTGCCTTTATTTAGTCCAACCACATACAAAATAAAAGTGAAGAACTGGCCCAGGAGCAGAGAGATTCCAGAAAGAAGAGTACAGTGAAGAGGAAGAGCAGAGACACCGAGGAGGAGAGCAGAGAATGAGGACAAGCCACAGGGAAACCTGCAGCGTCTGACTTTCTGCCCAACATGCATAGAAAAATAGGAGCTTGACCAGAACAAACTGCTTTAATGAACTTTACAGAAACAAGACTGATAGAAAGCTAAACTCGTCTCAGTAGGCGCCGAGTTGGCATGAAGTGACGAATGATGAGCAACAAAATCTTTAGAACTGTTCATGTAACATTTACTGCGACCAATAAATCCTATATTCATCTACCTGGTTTGGGTTGCTTAACAGATCATTAAATCCTCCAAAATACTGTTTGACGTACCGAGTAAAGCTTCAACGCAGTTTGCCCCTTCACCATTTTGTCCTGACTGGTTCACACCCAAAAGCCTATTAAATGGTGGTTAAGCTTTTTTTTTTCTTTTTTTTTAACAATAAAACCCCAAATAAACATCATGCATATTATTTACCTTAATATTTTCTGTAATTCTTATATAAAAAAAATTGGGTTTGGGGCCAACATTTTTCCTAAATATGCAATTTTGATCTCTAATCAAACAAAACACTATGCAGGTAAATAAACATTTCTTTAAAAAAAAAAAAAACACTGGAAAAAAAAAGTTCATCAGCAGGTATGAAGTTTCCCTAAGGGGAGTAAAAACTGATGCATGGTTACTACTTTCTGTAGATTTGACGGTTTAAAAGCAACTGCAGAAGAAAGAAATGGCGAAGGGGCGAAAAGGAAAGTACCCGCAATTAAAGTAAACCGTCTGCTTTACAATTTTTATTTAATCCATGCATAGAGCTCAATATTTATAAAGCAATAAAGTAGAGATGCACCGAGACACTGACTAATCTTATTTCACGATGATCTGAGACTAACATCTGATCTTTCTTCTGATTAGTAGAAGTACCAACAGATCACGCAGAAAAAAACTCTCCTCTGACTAAAAGACTGTTGGCTATTCTCAATGTCAGGGTAAATTTTTTTTTAGTTCAGTTTATTTGGATTTTGTGTCCAACAATATTTAAGTGATAGAACTTACTAAATTTGGATTTAAAAAATGAGCTTGATTATTTCCAATGTAATATTTTCAGAAGGCCAATTCTGTGTAGAGAAAAATTTATCCATTTATGGTTTTGGTTGTGTGTGCTATTAATCTGTTTCATTTATCGTTTTTCATTGTTAGTCTGGATATTTAAAATGTCTTCCAGTTCCAGTGACAAGAGTTGTTTAAAAATTAATATTGTATTTTTTAGAACAACAAACTTTAACATTTATCGCAACTACTAATCTATCATCCAGCAAAATTTATCTGGATGATCAATTTTATTTAGGCTGCTTCTTTTGGGGGGTAAAGAAATCTCTTAAGAGAAACAGTTTAATTTTATTTACATTCAGAAACTTAAAGACTAACTTGTCATTCTTAAATTTAAAAGAAAAATCTGATTCTGAAAAAAAAAATCTATATTAGTGACGGTAGGTCAGAGGTTAAAAAAAATTTGATCGAAATTCAGCAACTGCATCTCAGATCGGTGCATCTCTACAAACAAAACAGTCCAAATGCAATGTTTATATTTCCTTTAAATCATTTTAGGAGAAAACTACTAAAAGCCAGATAACTGGGTGCATGTTTGTTAAAAGAAACTTACCACAAACCGTCAAAGTTGATGGTTATAATTGGGAATGTGCTCTAAAAAGCCAACAGAAGCAGCAAAAGGACAGGTACTACCCCATGTCATGTCTGAGAAGGCCACACACTGAAAGTGTTGGAACTTCCATCTTCTTCCTTCAGGTCAGGGTTCAAACGGAGACCTCGACCAGCAGAGCCCAAGGTCCCTAGATATGTGAATCGAATTAGATGCTTTGGATTCCACAAACCGACTCAAGCAGTATCAGCTAAGTAACTATTCAAATGAACTTTATTTAGAGAACTCCCTTCATTTGACATGTTTTTTTTTTTCTTTTTAAAAACACCTCACAAACAACAAAGAGCTACCGGGCACCATTGGACACACACGTCTCCACGTTCTCACATCCTCACTCGCGGCCCCCCAGAGTCTTCAGCAGGTGTCATCCACATCAAGAACACGCTTACAGATCAGTTCAATTAACATGAAAGCACACACCATACAGCATTCAAATCAGATAATATAAGCAAATACAAATATTCATCACAACATTCCACTACAGGTTTTATATTTCTGCACTTAGACATACTTAGAAGGAAGGAAAAAAACTTGCAAAGAAAAAAAAAAAAAAGGGACAAATCTTGAAGTACTAATTAAAGAATGTCCATGTTAGGGGGGGGAGGCGCTCGTCGCATCCGCAGCTTCCACTCACACACTCAGAAAAGCAGTCAAATTGGGCTCTACCACCGCACAACCAGTCCTTTCCACGCGTCTCTCTCCGTTCGCTCACTCATAGCTTCACTCCTCGCCACAAGCCATCCTCAATCGCACTCATCAGTTCTTAAAATGTCAGTTGCGCAGTTCTCTCCAAATTTTTTTTTTTTGCTCTCTTAAAAAAAGTGGATAAAAGTGAAAACACCCACCGTCTCTTAGAACATGCGGAGTGAGGCCGTTCTTTGATGGCATAGCATTTACAGGTGGGAAGAGGGAGAATGATACAGGTATCACCCCAAGAATGCTGCCAAAGAGGAGCTTCGTCGCGGGGAAATGGAAGAGAGGTGAACTGCAGAAGAGATTTCAGTGAAGGCTTTTCCACAGAACTTGACTGCAAATAAAGTTGCACTTTAAAAAAAAAAAAAAAAAAAAAAGACATTAAAGTTTCAACCAGATTCTTTCCAATGCAAGATTGCCTCTCAAGCCGATGGTGACAAAAGTCGGATAATGGTGAACCGCAGACATTCATGCATTTTTCTAAATGGGCATCACATTTCACAATACATGCATTAGAGAATCCAGTTGAAATGGATACAAACAAACAAGACAGCAAAAATAGCACTTTAGTCAGAGATCCTGGTAAACAATTCACTTCAACAGTTCCTAAGTTAAATCTTTAGCTTTTTTTTTTCTCCAAATGTACAAAACGTCTTTCACCAAAGTGTTTAGTTTTCAGATACGCATCAACACCAGAAATAAACTTTTGAAAAGACTCATCTCTCTCACAATACTTACCATGGAAACACTTAACTTACATACCCCACCCAGAGGACTTTGACTCCATGCTGGACCCAAACCCTGAGCTAAACCCGCTGCCGCTGGTCGTAGAGTTTGACCCTGAGCCCCAGCCCAGACTGGCCGAGCTGGTGCCGTAGTTGCTGTTGCCTGTGCTGAAAGACTGGCCCTGGTCCCTGCTCGAACTGGTCCCACTAGAGCTGCTGCCTGACGTGGACGTCTGCTGCTGGCTCGCCAGCATACCCATCATGCCCCAGCTACTTTGCAGAGCGGCCTGAGCAGCGGCCATCATGGCGGGGTTCAGGCTAAACGACCCGAAGTTAGCCAGACTACTGTTAGCGCTGCTCCCCAACCCACTACGGTTGCTACCGAACGCCTGGGCCCCGAAGCCGTTTCCAAACCGGGCCGTACGGTCAAACTGCCTATTGCCGTGTTTGGGCTCAGCGTTTGAGATGTGAACACTGACTCCTTTGATGATAAGGTCCTCTCCACAGAGAGACTGGGCGACCTGTCGGGTCAAAACAACAACAACAACAAAAAAAACAGGACTTAACCCCTTAAACGCATCATCCGTTTCTGCTTTCACGTCACTTTAAATGTTTCAGCTCAAACTAATTTTAATAGAGAGAGATAACCCAATTAGATGTAAAATAACAATTTCATTTATTAAAGAAAAAAACAATCCAAACAATAAGTAAGCGCTCCATGTTATGAGGAATTATTTTAATTATATGTAATAATTAGCAGTAGGTCTGTTGGAATAAGCAAAAAATCAATTAATCGCATGATAAATTAAAATGAGCTCAATAATTTCCATTTGCATGATTTATTGTTTCTATCAAAAACTGGATACAAAAGTCTTCAGTCTGGTGCTTTGGTCTCAACCATTTCTTTTTTTTGAAGGACAATTTTTTTTTCCAGACACTTCATTATTAATTATTGCTTATTTACGTTGGACATTTAAAACCTCTTCCAGTTCCAGTGTTAAATGTTCATTAGAATCTAAAGTTTATTGAACTTTGAGGATTTGTTCTTGGATTACCATGACACTATTTGAAAGTGATCTCTAAACAATTGCAATAATTTCTGGGACAATTTAACATCCAGCAAAATGTGGCTTTGGTTCAGGCCTAGTTGGCAGTTCACTCAGTTCCCTTTAACTGTTAGTTTGTCACATTTTTCTAAATGCTGCATCAGGTGTAACATTGATGCAACTTCTCAAAAGTCCCCAAAATATTTTCCCAACAATTTCTGCCATGGAGATTATTTTTTTAACTGGTATAAAATAGGATTAGTTGTTTTTTTTTTTTTTTTTTTTTTTTTGGTTAAGGGGGGGGTTTTCCTTAAAACCAGTTTAATGAGCTGAAACATTTAAGTGTGATAGAAAAGCAAAACAAAAATGAATCAGACATGGCGATATATTTCTTTTGCATTTAAAACAGTACCTGATCATCTGCAAATGTCACAAAGGCAAAAGCCCGGAATGGTTTGGGGATGAAGACGTCTGTGACTTCTCCATACTGCATGAAAAACTGACGAAGGTCGTCTGTGGTCATGTCCTCTGTGCAGCGTCCGACAAACACTTTCCGGCTCCTCAGTGGCTCATCGGGACCCTGCTGTAAAGAAGCAGCAGAGGGGAAACGTAAGTGTTACAGAGTGTTGATAGCGGATTTTTTTCTGGCCAATACATGAAGCTATGTGGATGGACATTACCATATTCACCTTCGAGTTAGGAAGCTTGCAGTCACACCATCTCCCATCAATCATGTGGCGCTGGGAAATCACTTTCTCCTGAGCTTCGTACTCTGTGAATCTCACAAAACCAAATCCTTTGGAGTTACCAGTCTTAGCATCTCGTTTAACCTGAGAGAACAATAATCAATAATAAACACATATCCACATAAAAAGCCATTAAAAACTGCAGTTTATCAAACAAAAACATTACGGGACGCACCTGGACCATTATGACTTCTCCAAACGTGCTAAAGTAGTCTTTCAGGTCCTGTTCAGTCGTTTTCCAGGGCAGACCCAGAACAATCAGGTCAGAGGTCTTCATGTCTCCCCTCTTCATCTTCACAGCCGAAGAGGCATCAATTTCATCCATTTTCCTTTTGTTATCTAAAATGAAATACATAAATTAACCTTGAACAGACATAAAAACCTATTCTCTTCTGATTCATAACTCTGACCGCGTTATCTGACACTTTTTAGGTGAGCTTACAATCAAATAGAAATTTTTATTCAATGTTTATATGAACAAAGGGCAGATTTAGCAAGTATCTGCTTGTTTTATGCAATCTATACATCTTACCATTTATAATTAAAGGGCTTTATTGGCTCTGTTGTACCCAAGTGTTCCCCAGTAAGAGATTGTGTTTTTGTCCCAAAACCCATAAAAGGAATTATTGTAGTCATTTAATTAAGGCAAACAAAACTGGTAACTATGATAAGTCACACTGTATTTCATATTTTAGCTGGTCCTGTTTTTTCCTCTTCATGATGCATATTTTTGACTGATGGGGCTTTTACTTTGGAGCAATAGTCCAGAAAATGTTATCTTTCAACCTTTGTACCATATTGTAAAACTAAATCACTTTTGCAGCTATATAAACTTTATTTAGCGGATCGTTTATTTGACAAAACATTTGTAACATTCAGTCACATTAGATCCACAAACCATGAAACAACATGCAGAATTTGGCTTCCCTGGTTTGTTTTCAGCATCTCTTACCCTTATTAAATCTGGACTGAATTATCCTACACAATCTTTAAAGCACCGTTGTTGGTCAGTGAAACATTTATGTTGTTTATATTAATTTAAAAAGAAGCTTCATTACCTTAAAACACTGATCTAAGAGTTTTTTAGATGTAAACAAATGAACCCCAGTTCAAATTCATTCATTTAGTGTGGAAAATAAAGATGATCAAACTATGTAACTGGACAAAAACTGCTATGTTATGAAACTTTAAAGATGAGACATTTTGAATAAAAAATCATTCTAAAATACCACTTACTAAAATTCTGATTTTAAATGTTATGTATTGCTATGGTGGCTGTAGCTCAGAAGACAAAATATTTTTCATATTTATCCAGAGTTTCAAAGTTGTTCAACTGATAAATGTTGAACAAAGTTGTAACAACTTGTGACCTGTCAAGAGGTAACATTTTAGAAACTTTCAAATTTCACTGGACACTTCATGAAACCGTGTCCAGTTTCGGCTGCTCTGCTCTAACTTGGAGGGCGTGGACAAAAATAAGTTAACTTTTTCTTCACTCCGACTGCGGGGAAGCAACACTACGAATCAAAATAAACAAAACGCCACTCTGTCACACATAAAACTGTATTTATAAGATTTTCGTGTTTACCTTTTGGGTAGTTTACTACGTATACAACGTTGCCCCATCCGTTTTCTGGCGCGTGCAGGACCCCCTCCACGAGACGCACTCCCCGCATACACTGGGACACGGGGCTCCTGAACCGCAGGCCGCACGCCCCTGGAAACTGAGCCGCTACTGTTGACAGCAGAACCGTACCGTCGTCCTCGGCCGGGATCTCCATAGGCTCCTCGTTTTCCTCCTCCGCCACCCGAATGTACCCCTCCGCCATTCTCGTATTTAAGAAAAAAAAAAATTGTTTTCTGAATGAAAACAGAAAAGCGGTTAGCCCCCTGTTTGTCCGGCTAACCTTAGCTGATGCTAACAGAGCTGAATCAGTCAGCCCAGTCTGTTGGTTCTGTCTGACGGAGAAAAACTTCTCAACTTAACGTCTCTTCACACAACCACGCCACGATATGTTTAACACCAACTTTCTTCAATAATTCCCGTAGATTGTGCTACAGGACGAACATCAGCTTTGTTCTTCCTTTGTTCGATGCAAGACGGGACAGCGATCTGTGTCGTCAACACCGGATGACAACAGTTCCAATATGCTTCTACGCCGGCGGGAACAAACTTGACAAAACTATTTCCCCTACAAACTAATGCTCGAAAACTGAAAACGTTTAAAAACTTTTGCAAATGACTCGTCTCGACTCACAAGTAAAGCAAGACACTCGGCAAAGGTGAATGTTTTTCCACGAGGCGAAAACAGACGACACCACGTAAAGCCTTCCAAAATGGCATGGGCTAAACGAAGCAGGAACTACGTCACTTGGTTGGGCGGTATCATTTTTAGGAGGGATACTTTTCTGTACTCTGCGTCGTTGAAACAACAAACCAAAATATCTTTCGATATCTAACGAACAAATCGACCATTAGATGTTGTAAAAATGCTAATCTATTACAGCATGTTCATGGCTGTGAGGAACTACACTGCAGATAATCAGTTTGACTTGTTGTTTCGCCCCTGGACATGAATCGTCCAGGCAGAGTTTTTTCATCCATAAAGACGACTTCCCGTCAGTTGGTTTGTCGGGAAAGGGAAGATGGCGGTTATCCCCACAACTTAGTAAAGACAGCAGCATTTACTCTTGATCTGCTTCGTTTGGAACCACTCAGTTTGGCATAGTAGTCATAAATACTTTTTACCAGACTAAAAGAAAAATAAATTATTAATTTATATTAAAGAAAAGCTTATAATATTGTTTTAAAGAAGGACAAAGGTTTATGTCTAAAGACAGATTTGCAATAATAGTAAGGTTAATTTTTACATTTTTATTTTTAAGAGCTTTAAATATGACCCATTTACACCATTTCTAAAATCATATATATATATATATATATATATATATATATATATATATATACATATATATATATATATATATATATATATATATGTATTAGAATGTATATATATATTAGAAGAAACTCATTTTATCATATGAGTCACATCATACTTGTAAGAATATTGAAGTTGAATTATTTATTTTTGTTGTTTCTAATTGTTTGGATTCAACTAAAATGGAATCAGTGATTTTGAAAAGTGACCACTGATACTTTTTGCCAGGCCACAAAACATACCAATCAATATTAGTAGGCATATAAAGTGTATAAAATGTGTATTTTATACACTAACAGACTGTTTTCTTAATGGTCTGTCAGAAGATGCCAAACGCATGAAGCTGCTGCTTAACTGGAAAGCTTTCTGTGAGGCTACTGAATCCTAGGTGCACTAAAGCATGTTATAGTAGGTCCTTCCTCCTAGCAGCTGTTAGACTCTATAACCATAAATTGCAAATGTTATTTTCCTCTTAATTCAAAACACTTAGACTGATCTTAGAATAGGAATCAGTGACAGATATGTGCTTGGGCCAGTTTTCAGTAACAAGATCAACAGTATTTTTAAAAAGCTATGGTTTCAAAACTGCTAAAATTATCTGCCCCTGCGGTTCAAAGTCCTTTGCATTAGATGTTTGAAAAATTCCAGTGTGGGTTTTCTCAAACTGCTGATTAATGCAGCACTACCTCACTGTCACCTGTTGCTTCACAGAGAGAAAGCTGCCGTTTCCTCCCTCTAAAGAAAAATACTATTTGGAAATATTTTTGGTGTGGAAAAACAGTCAACCACAGTCCTAAGAATAAAGCGCCACTCTTTTCAGCATAAAGGTGCTGTGATTATCTGTATATTAGTTTCGTTTAGTATATTAGTAATTCTTGATATCCTGGTTAAATTATTTTAAATCCAGATTATGCAACTCTCAAACTTAAACATCCTAAGGCCCAACAAAAAATTAAAGACAATTTGAACAAAGCTATATTAAAATATTTTTAATATAGCTATAGTTTCATAACATTAACTAAAACTAGTGTTATGAAAGTTTAACTTGTACATTGTTCGTATTACCCTTACAGAGGGAGTTGTGTAAAAATAGAAAAAGGCTTAGTGGTTAAAAATAACTCGCTATAACTTGATGAATGTGAACGCAAAAACATGTAAAAGTCGATTAAAAGATTTTTAATGCACCAAAAGAGATCTCAAACAGCTTTTTATTACATTTTTCAATCAATAACAGTACAATTTAGTACAGTATCTATCTTGCATCCAGCTCACCGTGGAACACCAACAGACTGAAATGAAATACAAAAAGTGGAAAGGTACATAAGGGTGCAGAGCTCTATATTATCAATGGAAAGAGAAAAGGAGAATCCATCTCAGTTGAATCGCATTTTCACTTGTGGCCACACACGAATACATCACATTTATTGTACATCATTGCAGAAAAAAAGAAAAGTGAAAGTATCTCACAACCTTAACAAAAGTGCTTCTGTATACAGTGAAATGGCATTCAGATGCTCCGATTTTCAGTTTAAGACCAAAAAAAATAAAAATAAAAATGTACAAAAGTTTTAGTATGGACAGTATGTGAGGACATTTTTGTTCCATTGAGAGTGAAGATTGGAAGGAGAGGATAGATTTCTCACAATGATTGTTATAATTATTTTTTAAAAAATGGCATCAATAGAACTGGTAAGCATAATTTACACTAAGTATGAAGTTAATATCAAGCCTTTCATCATTCTTGCCCACTCTGGTGCATAGCATTACCAGTATTAGTACATGATGTATGCAGAGTTTGAGCCAAAAAAATGGCCTCTATTAAGTTCAATCAATAGGTTAACTCTCCTTTTTGGTAACAAAAGAAAATCTAGGATTTTTTTGCACCATTGAAAGCAAGTCTACAGCATGCACATCTAAATTAACTCATGGCAGACAAAATTTTATGTCTTAACTTAAAACATCAGACCATTATTTTCAGACATTGATTTGTACATTTCATTCACAGAGTTGTAACTGCAGTCCCAAGCAAAGGAAGTGTGTATTTAAGTCAGGTGAGGTGTTTCACTCAAAGTGGATACAGAACACAAAACCCCTTCTATATTGTAAATTCAAGCCATGCCTTATTAAACTCTGAACCTAAATCACTACCCTACCCTTCCCCACCAAAAGCCAAAAAGGCATGTACAAGAATCGAGGGGTTTAACTGGATAGTTTTCCTCATAATAACTCCGTTTGTACTGGAATGAGCATTCATAACTTATAGCATGTGCCTGGTTAATTAACAATGTTATTAGTTTAGAGGCGAAGCTTCATGTGCAAAAAGCCGTGATGGAACAAAAACAGCTAGAATATAAATACATCCTGGACATTTTCGAAAGCTGCTCGTGTAATATGATCCAAGCTTTTACTTCTGCATGTTTTTTTTTTTTTTTCTCTCATATGATTTTACCTGGATTACAAAGACAAGCTGTAATTCAAACATATCTAAAACCACTAAAGAAATATGACAAAGAGAAAAGCCATCAAGAATAATAAACCATCAGAATAGAAATCTTAAAAAAAAAAAAAGTTAAATAATTTGTACAATTACACTCCAACATTTGCTTTCAAGACGCACACATTTGCATGGGATGATAGTGTTGTTTTCTCTTTCAAGGTAACATAAAATGGTCCAAGAAGGAATGCACAAGTTTCTGATTTGATACCACAGGAGATCCTTTCTTAACTAGGTGATAAACAATTGTGCTCTTCTTTGTGTAGGAAAGGCATTGGTTTCCCTTCGTTTTTGTGGTGTCCAAGTCAGTTTAAACAGTGTTGAAGATGACGCTGTGAACATTCTCAAGTTGTAATGGTCTTCCAGTCAACTTTGGAGTTAAAAGAACATCTGGGGGAAAAAGAAAGACATTTTGAGAAACAACGGAAGACAGAGTCGTGTAGAAACAGGGGAGCAGAATAGCATACAGAGATGTTTAAGCCCGGCAGCTGAGCAGGCCCATGAATTCTCAGAATATTTATCAAAGCCAAGATAAACTAATCGTCTTCAATTAGAGATGCACCGAGAAATCAGCTGGTGATCGGAATCGGACGATTCTGTGCCTCTCCTGCCCTAACCGGCGATCAGCTGGTCAAAAACTCAAAAATCCAACGGATCCATTTCCAGTGAATGAACTGTTCCTACGTGCCAACAAGAGTGTAAAAACTGCACTTTTTAATAAGGAAGGTGCCCTGAGGCATTTAAATGAAGTCAGAGCAAACTAATCTAAGAAGCTATATAAAAGGAACCTTTTCTATGACATACAAGATGTCTTTGTGGTTCAAAAAGCTGAGAGAAAGACAGCAAGACCTCCAGCTGAGAGCAGGAAGCCTGAACAAAGTACAGTAAAGTCTGAGCTTTTACTTCTGTCATAAAACTTTTAAATGGTGGCAGCCTTTTGGAAATTTCAGAGTTCTATTCTATAGAGATTACACAGAAGTATTTTATAGAGATGCTAACAACATGTCAATAACAAACATGACACTTCAGCTATCATAAAAAACTTATGTCCGCACAATAAAGGAAGGCTGGCAAAAGGTAGTTAAAATAATGTTCCTAAAGAGAAACTGGAATCTGATGAAGTTAGCAGGTCAAAGCTCAACAAAAAGCAGAAATAGAAAGTCAGCTACAAAATTCTGATCGGTGCATCTCTACCTTTAATGCAAATACGACAAAAAGAACCTTCAGGCTTCAATTCCAGATCTTCAGAAAACTGTCCCAGGATCCTGTTGCAACTGCCATGCCATCGTCAGTAACTCCCAGGCAGCTAACGCGGTTGTCATGTCCAGCCAACACACCTTAAAAAAAAAAGAAGAAAGAACCATTACTTGTCAGGTCTGACAGAACAGTGTGGTGCCACACTGACAGGTCAAATGTAATCACTTTGGGAGTTTATAGACTTTATCCTCAGCTCAAATCTTCAGCACGTATCTGAATTTCTTTAAGATAAACTTCTTATCAGTCATAAAACTGCAGCACAACTACATTTAAATTACTGATAGTCGAAAGAAAGTACAATAAGTCTACTTCATGAGCAGAACTTTTAACACACAACTAAACCTTAGCGTGGTAAATCTGAAAGTATTTTGACCTTTTAAAGTTTAAAACTTAAGTAATTTAAGGATTTTCTGAGACTTTAAGAGACCTCAGGAAAAATGAATGGTAAAAAAATTAACCTGTCTAGAAACTTCCTGTGACCTTAAGATGCTTTAAAAAAAACTGTTTCACAGCTGTAATTCCTGGTTTCTTCTGCATGTTTTAGCCATTTCCCAGCAGCCACTCCCACAACTTAATGAATGGGTGATTAACAGGTATCTGTGGCATCTGCTAAGGCAGTGCAAGCATTTGAATGAAGCGTGAGAACCACTGTTCATACTGTTAGCCAGCCTGCTGACAAAGAGAGAACTTCATCTTACTGCCATTAAGATGGCTGCTGCCTAATGCAGAATATTAACTCTAAAACATAATGCAATGAAAGAGTCTATTTGAGACAAACCTGTTTAAGACATTGCCCAGTTACTCACCAGCACGGTCAGCTTTTAGTGTGTCCCACACATTACAGTTGAAGTCATCATATCCTGCCAGAAGAAGGCGGCCGCTCTTGGAGAATGCAACAGAGGTAATGCCACATATGATGTTGTCGTGAGAGTAGATCATCAGCTCTTGATCAGCTCGCAGATCAAACAGCCTGCAGGTGGCGTCATCAGAGCCCGTGGCAAAGGCGTTGCCATTAGGGAAGAACTGAAACGTACAAGTGCAAATATTAAAGCACGACAGCGGTACATAACTTGGCCACATTCAGAATGTGCATTTAAAAAGTGAAGCAGAGCTTAAACGACTTACACAGATAGCATTGATGTCAGACTCATGGCCAGTGAAAGTCTGCCTGCACATCCCCTCTCGAACATCCCAGAGTTTAGCAGAGGCATCGCAAGCACCAGAGACGAATGACCGAGTGTCGGGGCTAAGAGACAGGCTCATGACATCACCTGTGTGTCCAGCAAATGTGGTCGTCTGCTGGCCTGTCTCGATGTCCCAAAGTGCACTGTGAAAAACAACAAGACAGTCAAGACTGTTTTCTGTTCCCTTCAAAGGAAAACACTTTGACAAGTTAAGAGTTTCTTGCTATTTCTTTTTTAACTTACCAAGTGGTATCTCCAGAGCTTGTAACAATCTGGTTGTCGTCAAGAAAGCGACAGCAGGACAGGTATCCTAACAGTCAAATAACCAGCAGATAAATAACCCAAAAGTCCACTGCCGTTTTATGTAAACCTATACTTGTACACAAATACACTGTATTCGTGAAGTATCCTATACCTGTATGTCCTGCGAGCTCACGGCTCACACGTACATTCCCCTCACGTGTTTTCAGGTTGTAAATGGAGCAGATGTTGTCTAAGCCACCACAGGCCACATAGTTTCCTGAAGGTGCATATGCACAAGTCATGACCCAGGAAGATCGAAGTGGAATGGCATGAACCTGCAGAACACAGCAACACACACGGAAAACTGTTAGCTCAGAGAAAATGCAAGTTTCAAGCACGAATTTTATGTTTTTGATGGAGGAAAAGATAGAAATTTAAACAGATGAGAAGCTTGTTTAACTTTAAACAAAAGGAATGGCAGTAAAAAATATGCAGAACTGAACTAATCTCAGTACTGCTAAAGTTTTTACTACAAGATGTGACTTCACTTTTATAATGCAGCAGATATTACTGAAAATCAACACTAAAAAAGAAACAAAAAACTTGAAATGAGATTTTAAAGCCTCTGAAGATATTAAGGTATACAAGATGGGAAAGGAAACTTTCTAATCATAACTCGACACCTGCTGACGTTGTCCTGCATTGAAGCCTGATGGTGTAGAGGAGGAGTGGCCGTCCCACAGGGGCCATCAGTCCTCAACTCGGCCATCTGAGGTTCAATTCCTACCCAGGAACCTTTGCTGCATGTCTACTCTACCTCTACCCCATTTCCTGTCTAATCTGCCGCAAATAAAAGTCGCTAGTGCCAGAAAAAAAAAAACACTCAAAAGGGTATTGGGCAGAGTTTTGACCTTGATTGGTACTGACCAGTCAAAGACTCAAAATCCTCTGTAAACTATCAGATAACAATTAACTGTTACTTAAATTCAAAGCCTCCGACTAAGTGATGTTTGATATCAGAGAAAGCAAAGACTTGTAGGCGACATGTCTGTGGTTAAATCAGGGTGAGAGAGCAAAACTTAAAACAGATAACAGGAAGGTTGAATAAAGTACCAGAAAGTCATTCTACGGTTAAGAATTTAAGCTTTCGACCTGTTTGGATTTGGAAATATTTGCAGCTTTTTGGGAAATCTTTAGAAAAGAGCTTTGGTAAGGGCAAGTTTCAATAATGATGGCCATACTAATCATTAACGCAAAGCCTAAAACTGTCAAACCTGCTGCCTTTTGTTATAAAATGATTATTTTTACAGCAACTGCTATCTCACACTCACTGCATGACATTGTTTTTCCTCCTATTGTGAATAATTAATGACTTCTATCAGCAGGAAGGCTAGGAAATATACTCTGAATGCTGCGTTAACATGTTCTTGTAATACAGTTGTTTAAAAAACTGGCATAGACATAAATTTAAAGTAGCAGATCAAAACTTGACATCAGCAACAAAACTGCTTGTTGCACCTTCAGTAAATAACTCACTTTTTTATGCTTAAGCAAAGTGTACAGGTTAGAGAAAACTGGCGTGAACACCAGAAGGACAACTAATATTTTATTACACATTAAAAAAAACACATTTGCTGTGAGTTTACCTCAAAAGCATTTTAATGTACTAAAAAGAACAGAAATTAAAACCCACTCATCAGTTCTGTTTTAAGAACTAAAGTATCGGCTTCAGCACATAAAAAAATGGGTGTTGCGGTATAATTCTGTTTTTGCTTGGATCAGTTCAAAGAACCACCAACAAACTAATTTTCTTCTTCTGAAAGAGGAACATATTTATTTATGGAATAAAAATATTAAATTGTGCAAAAAGACAAATCACTGATTTGTGCATCCATACTGCTGCACATTTCATTTTTACTGTATCCTTAAATAAAACTCACCTTGTTTGTGGTATAGCTATCCCAAATAATGAGTTTTCCATCTTGAGAAGCGCTGACCAAAAGCCTAAAAACAGGAGCAGGAACAACATTAGACAACTGGAAAAGGATTTAAGCTAAAAATCCGTGTTTAGAAAATATCGTTGACGTACCTAGAGTCTGTCCCCCAGTGCATGGCATAGATTTTGGCCAAATGACCCCGCAGCGTTCGTCTTGTACGCATCTGGATTCGGCCAACGGCTTCGACATTAGCTGTAATCTGCAGAACGTTACAGACTTTTGTTAAGCTCAAAATAATCCACTGAATTTTACTGTATTCACAATGAATCTTTCTGAAAGCACTCTGTCAGACATTACCTGTGATAGTGTGGCATCTGCACATGCTTTTCTAGCATCCTGGGAAAAAAAAGAGAATTTAGCTCGTTGGCATACATCACATGCGCCAACTTCTATATGGACAACTTAATGTTGTTACTTACTCTTATCTGATTTTTGAGCTGCTCTGCCTCTTGGCGTAACTGGTCCAGTTCACTCATCTTATCCTGCTTTTTTAATTACCTTACTCCAACTATCAGGGCACTTGTTTATCTAAAAAGGGACAAAAAAGAAAAGGGGAGAGAAAAAGGTAAGCATACACGGTCAATCTTTTTTTTTTTTTTAAGAGCAACATTATATTTAAAGTTAGTTTAGAAATCTAAAATGCAAAATGGTAATGGCCCAAAAGCAATTTAACCAGCAGAGAGAACAAAATGGGCAACATACAGTTCCCTGTTCAACCTTATAATTCGGCTGCAATGTCGATGTGTCCTGACACACAATTCAGATCAGCAGACAAATCCTGTTAAGGCATGACTTTCCTGTGATCCGAAAAGCAGTCATTATCCTGTTGACCTCAATCCCTGGGATAGTCAGAATTTTCGCCAAGTGATCAATAAGCCACTTATATTAATACAGCACCAAGAGGACGTCTAAATGTCCAGCTAATAAAGTAAATATATTCAATTCAAGCCATAAAACTAGTTTTTATACTCGCACTAAACCAACTAATGTCTCATTTATCAAAAGTATAGAACGCAATTAGATTAATTGGCTTGCAAAACAAAAGTATTTAGTTTAAGATGATTCTTGTGCAACAGCTCATTAAATTGTATGACAAGAAAAACTTAAAAAATCGCAAATCCCTAACAGTATATTTTATTTGTAGGTAGTCACAAATTACTTAAAGATTGCAATTATAATTTAATACATCCTTGTATTAATACGACTACAACTGGGAACACATAATTACACTCCATTGTTTGTGATTATTAATATTTAAAACCATCATTCGTGGCCCTCTGCCAGAGTTGATGGATTTTCTGACAGTGGGAAACATTAAAATCTATGAATGAACAGGAATACATTTACTTATTTTAAATATCTCTTCTGCAAACTAGATTTCTACAGACAATAAGCATAACCTTTAAAAAGATACTCCTGACATGAGCTTTAAGTACAAATTATATTCTATCCAGAAGCTAAATCTAAATCAATTAAAGCTTCACTAATAGCCACACCCAAGACAAACTATAAATAACGACAGCGTGAGATAAGCGGTAAATAGCTGAGTTTGCCTCTCAGTTCCCTTACCTGGTGTCTTTCAGTCGGTACACTAATGTCACTGGAGGTTGCAGGACGTGTTTGACAATCTTCTCTACTCGTCTACATCATCTTTCAGATTTGCTGATTGGTTGACCTTTCTAACATAGATGATCCTCTTACGCTCATTAATCTTGTAATAAAACGTGTCATGGAATATAGTTATTATTTAGTTGCATCCAGAGACAGGAGAATGCAATCTTTGTCACAACAGAATTTAAAGTTAATATCTAAACTCAGATTTAACCTCTTTGTACTTTTTCAACGGATTTGATCAATTTTCAGATGATTCTGTTTATTGGTGTGTAATTTGTAGTATTGCACTAGTTTGTTTGTTAAGCCTGCTATGAACAAATCTCAACATTATTAACACAATTCCATATTTTTATACATAAAATATTACATAGCCCTAATCTTCTGTGAATTATTTATGTCTACTTTGACAGTAATTAACATTTTTAAATTAATTTACATTTTTCTTTTCATCTTTGATTAGTTTTTTTATGGTTTTTAAATCTAATATATAATATTTTTATTACTGAACATTGCATATAGAAACAACAATAAAACCCCTCTATTTCCAGTTTTATCTGAGGCGCCTGAAAGCATCTAGAGAATATTGTTTAATTTGGGTTTCAGAACCACATTACTTTGCTCTCAGATGCGATACTAACTATTTCTGCAGCAGTCCAAATCACTTTCAGTACCCATTAAAGTGTTACAGCCATTTTTTTCCCCCCTACAAATCTCATTTAATTATTTAGATTTCTTTCTAACCTAGATGTAATTTGCATTCACAACTTGAATTTTGATGTGTAACACCTTTGTGCCATAACCAAATTTTACATATCCCACGTCGAGAACAGAAATAGCTGCACATTTCCCATTAAGATCTGTGGATGCCTACAGTTACGGAGTTCCTCTCTCTCATCACTTCTCCTTTCCAAGCGCCTGATCAGGGTCAGCTGACTGCATGATAAACAATGAGCAGTAGCAAACAGCCTGGAGTGGCAGCTCACTAGCTGTTTCCAAGTCCTGCAAGGCTTAAAGAGATGTGTTTGTTTGCAACTCTAGAAAGTGAAGCTGCAATTTTAACCCACTTAGAGGAAAGAGGGGCACATATAAACATCTGCTTACAAAAGACGGCTGAGTTCTGATAATGCAATGTTTTACAGATCTAAATCTGGATCATGGAAAAGACCATAACTAGCAACATCACTGAGCAACTCCATAATCCTAAAAGCTGAAATCCTCAGTCAATGAGTCCCTAATCCAATCCATGTCTGCTAACAGAAATAGTAGTAAAGCCAGTCCAGGCATTAGAAATATGTTTTCAGCTTAATAAAAGGATGAGTTTAATCTTAATTCTTTCATAAACACATGAAAAAAAAAAAAGATCCAGGCACTTTGTTTGAAAAAGTGCCTAGATTAATGGCTGCAATTAAAGTCACTGTCCTGAAGCAGAAATTCTCTTTCAGTTCTTGTACAAAGAGAGGGGAAAATGTGCATTATTAAAGAAGGTATACATAAACTTAATACTAAAAATTAAACAATGAGTTTGGACATAAAAAGTTAACAAATTATGCAATATTTTACAGGGCAGCTGTAAAATAAACTGCATTAACAAACCTGACAGGTAATCTCTAAGTGTTTGCAGTGTGCATGTTGAACCAACACTGTATTCAGTGTGCAAACAGCTACGGAAGAAGTTCTGTGTAAGCACTGTGATTTGCCTTCAACACTGTTACAAACAAATCAAATGCTTTGCATTGTATTTGAATGCCTCTCTGAAAGATTTTCAGTTAGTTTGTTGTTCATGTTGTTTGTAAGGTGAGAACATGTCAGTAATTCCGCATAATATTGCGTCAAGAGGCTAAGAATCAGATTGCTGTCAAAGTCCAATCAAATATATGAATTTAGTTAGCAACACACTATGTGTTGATAATATGCTATGCACTAATGAAAATGTGAGAAGATGCAGCTAAACGCCATCTTGCAGACTGCTGTCTGCTAGTTAGCTTTGCTAACAGATTGTCGGTGTAGGCCTACAGGCAGGACAACGCTCATATTCGGAAGAAAAACTCACATAAACGCTCAAATTCCTATATTTCACTTAAGCGTCAACAACGATTTACCGGAAATGTAGTCCAACCATAAGTTTCTAAGAAATTTACGCCACGGAAACCGAACGGCTACATTGTCTAATGCAAAATAACGAAACCACAGCCGCTTTCAGGGAGGACTCCGCTGATCTTCCGCAATTACACGGAGTGCTATGTAGTTAGCTTTTAAGCCAACACCGGATAAACCTAGAAAGTGTCTTGTTTACCGTCCCAGAGAAATCCACTTACTCGGACACGACCAATCTCTTTAAACGCTACTGGCCCCGGCTAATTTAATTGCACCGTGTCAGAATATTTACGGGGTTGTTTAATCCTGTAGTAGAACCCAAGAGTGTAGGAAAAAAACAGCAAGGTCGGGCGTCGGTGGCCTGTATCGTGTCAGTGAGATAAATGTAATTAACACTCGGGGTGTTTTATTTTTCCCCCCCAAAAAAAGTAAACGAAATTTGCTATTATATGTTGTAGAAATTTAGATGGTCTCCAAGGAAAGGCGGTGCACCTCTGGGGCCGAAGTAAGCTAACGTATTGGCTTCCATAAACAGGGTGTTAACGCGCCCACATTAATGTTCCCTCTATCCTAAAGTGCTGACTTTTTACAAGCACAATTAAAGAAAGCTAATACTGATAAGGTACAGAATTAAGCCATGTTAGTAGATTAGATGTTATTGTAATTTACAAACATCTGATGGCAAATTTGTTTACAGGACGTTTGATTCAGCCCAACCCTATGTGTCAACCTGAATCCAAAGCAACATCTTTACATTTAAGATTAGAATACAAATCACTTTGCATGCAACATATACAGCACGCGATATTAATTATTGTTATTTTAAAAAAAATTTTTTTTTTCAAATTTTCAGCGACTCAGTAGCTCTGAGAGTCGTATTTTAGGCCAAGAAGCACCTCCCCTGACTGGGCCATTATTGCCTTCACTGACAGCAGTTTTGAAAGGCTAACAAGAACGCTGCTTTAACGAATCCCAGAACCTTTCGGCGACATTAAGAGTAGTTAATGTTTCGTAATTGCCTGGATGTAATACACACAAATGGCTGCCACTATCTACCCACCCGCTGCTGACACAAAGTTCCGAGATTAACCCCCACCTTTACGGCAAACACTCATGCAACAGCTCATAATAAAATAAGCTTATCGTTAGCAAACCGATGCTAACTGATGGCTAAGAAGCTAGCTGCTGCTACCCCACCCCCGGGCAGTTCGATTATACCACAATTCACCAGCTAATGGGATTAACATTTAACTGTTAAATTGCGATAACGCAATATAATAGTTTGATTTTGCCTTACCTGATTCAATCTGCGCCTGTTTTTGCGTTTTGGCATTGACTGGAAACCAAGACGGCGTATTCCTCCGATCCACGCATCAACGAACAGCACAGTGCTAGCTTTCTAACTAGCTAAGCCAGCTAGCGTAGATTTCTGAGGAGCAGCCCTTCCCGAACGCAGGCTACGGCTGGGGAGCTTGACAACCAGGCGGAGAGGGGAGGGGGTGGGGGAAATCACACCCACAAGCCTTGTGTGGATGACAGTGCACTGGCAGTCAATCCAGCTAATTTTAAAAGTCACTATTCTTCACCAACAAGGGAGTCTAGATTCTCACCTTTGCAAAACCCAACACCTGCCCTGTCCGTAGTATGACTCTCAAGCAGCCATCGACCGATGAGATGGGCGCGGTAACCCTGCAGTCGGCGCTGGGAAACCCCACGTTGCAGCAGCAGCGATGGAAAAAGCAGCTTCGATTCGATTGGAGTGTTTTTTAGAGAACTGAAGACGCAACTCCTAATTGTTTCTTTTCAGCAGTCTTTCACACATCTCATTTGCAACATGTATATTTCACTTAGATGCTTAAAGAACATGATGTTCATTTTAAGCTCCCCCCCTCGCAAACCAGCCTGAATAAAACGGTCAAACTTCTAAAGTAGGAAACAGAGGTGGGCTGAGTATCCAAACAATGTACTTGGTACAGTAGCACTACTTCAATATGTTTACTCAAGTACAAGTGAAAAGTAGCCGTCTATTAAATTACTAAAGTGAGAGTAAAAAAGGCTACACAGTAGAGAAGCTGATTGTAAAATCACTTTAAAAATTAAAAAAAAAAATATATATATATCATATAGACAAGTTATGTGGAAATCCGTGTAGTTTGAAAAAATAGACAAATAAATAACATGATTACAAAATAACAAATTAAGCCATAAAAACCGTACATATCACTTTTCCAATATAAAACATATTGTTTATCTGATATATTTCAAACTATATCAGACAGACAAAAGTAGTTATGTGGATATTTTTGTAGTTTAAAGACTAGAATGAAAAAAAAGACATAAATAAATAACCTGATAACAAAATAACAAATCAAGCCAGATGAAGCTGTACACTTTTGAAATATAAAACATGACACTAATATTTACAGTAAGGTATGTAGAGATGATATTTACATACTGAATATAAATACACAAATGATTTTTTTCTCATTGTTCAATGTTAAATCAAACCATACATTTATTGATTTAGATTAGTTAGAATTACCAAAACTATGTCTATTTGCTAAGTGCCAGAAAACTTGGTGAGAATATTTTTTGTAATTTTTTTGTAATTACAAACATTTGAATTCAAGGGAAGCTACAAAAAAAATTGTAGCTTCCCTTGAATTCAAATGTTTGTAAACACTTGTCTGGGATAACTGTATTTAAAACTGCATGACTTGGGTCATAAATACATTTATGTGTGTGTTAGAGGAGAGTCGAGTACCACCATTGTTAAGTTAAACTAAAAATAGACAATAAAGTTTCAATTTTAAGATCTACCAAATTCTCACCGGATAAGTTGGACACTGTCAAACACACCAGAGTTTATAGTTTCAACATTGTCACTGTACAAAAAAAGGTGTTGTGAAAGTTGCAGAGGTAAACTGTTTATTAGCATTTCTGCTGGTTTATGTTCTCTACAGGTCAAACAATGAAATGAAGAGAATACATTAGAAATATACACAGATGCTCCTAAGTTGGACGTGACATTATTACAAGATCTGGGCTCTAATTTCTTATACAAATCAAATCCACCATTGGTGTTGCCGTTGAAAAACAATTGTGTTAAAGAAATTTTGTGGGGCATATTTAGATTTAATTTCTGCTTGTAAAACAAATAAAACAAAGCATTTAAAGTTGAATTTCCAGACCAAACAGTGTGGCTAGGTATTGAAATATTAATTTCTACTTCATCTGGATGGTTTTAGAAGTCAAATAACTGCACCACTGTTGTCCTGGTTGCTGGGGAATGTGCAGATTTTCTTTTCCAGAAGTGGTTGTAAACAAATAAGGCTGGGATTTCTTCATTTTGCTCTACCCCTGCCATTTTACAGAGGCTTTCTCACCCGATCCCTGTCATCTTCCTCTCATACAGCAGCTCTCTCCATACTCTGCCTCACAGCGTCACTTAAACTTCTCTGTGTGCTTCCTCATTTCCTCTCCTCCATCTCGACATCTAACAGGATTTTCCTATATATCTGCCATCCCTCTGCTATCTCAGCCTCGCCTCTTACATTTGTTTCTAAACTGCTCAGCTTGATCTGTCTTTTATTCTCATTTTTGCTGTTTTGGTCTTCAACAGGGAAACTGTTGATATAACTTCTTTCACCTTCAACTCTGTGTTTGTGCTTTAGAAAATCACCGTCTGCTTCATGTAGCGTTACTGAGGAATTTCAACATTGAACTAATATGTTTCACCCAGTAAAAGTAATTTCGCCAACCCATGTGCTGAATTGTACTGCTTATTGTAATATTTTTTTCCCATTTTATTCAAATAATCTAATGATCATTTGGTCTTTCATTGCAACAGGAGTTGCCATTGGTTTTCTTCAGCCTCCACCTTATGACGGGAACTAAACTAAAATTAGTTTGATTTCACACAAGCTATAAAATACATTTCTGCTAATATTTTTCTGTGTCTTCAGTTAAAGTCCAATTTTGTATGACTACATCATTACATCAGCTTTCATTTTCGACCATTAGAGAAATGCCTCCTATCTCACAAAGTTAATTAGTGCTGGTCTGTGAAGTAAGCAAAAAAAAAATGTGACTATGCAGAAATTTTCTGACTTAACAGCCATTTTTCTTTTCAAACAATGCAGTCAGCTCACATGCAATAAAAATAACTCAGAAAAACACAAAGGCACTTTAAACTGATTAGAATGAATTTAATACGAAACTTGTGTTAGGGTGCAGGAAAGGTATTCAGCAGAACGAAATATATGAGAGGATGATAATCAGAGACCTCTGTTGAGTGTATCCATTCAACATATATTTAGCTGATCATTATTCTTTTGTTTCTCTCAGTCTCACTCTCCCACCCTTCACCTCACCCATTCAACATTTTATCCCATGCATCTTTTTCACTCATCCTCTTTCATTAAAACCTCTCCCTTCTCTCTGTCCTGCAGATATCGAGGGCTCAAAGTGGGTTCAGATGGTATAATGCCTGAGATAGTCCCGCTAATTGCACATTAATTTCCACCACAATGGCTCAACTAACATGCACTGCTAACCCACATCCTCGAATTAATGGCTACAGCGCGGTCCATCAATGTTTGTCCTCAGTAGTTTAATACAAAGTTTTGCCTAAAAAGGAGGCTCAAGCCCAAAAACCTTACATGGTTCAAAATCAGCATAAACAACCAATGAAAACATAAAACTCTGTTACGTCTTAGAATTACATCTCCCACAAATGATTAGGATTATCTTTG